AAATTAGATTCTTTTAAAACCCAGCTCTTAGCACAAAGTCAGTTTTCGTTTGGGTCAAGTTTTGTCCTGGACATGACTACACATTTTAAAAAGTGTCAGAGCACAACTAATGATCCCCGGAGTTTGAGCCCGGGGTGTGGCTCGCTTTTGGTCAGCCCCCGCCTCCTGGCCCCTGTAGGAGTCTTGCCAGTAGGTGGCACCCCGGCACTGCTGTTTTCATCACCGCAGCCTGGCCGCCAGGACTCCAGCCTGCCTCCGAAAGAGCAAATTTTAAGAAGCAGAATTAAAGACAAAGCTAACCCGTTGATTAGAGGGAAGAATAACCCTCTCTGCAGATGACTTCGTTTATTCACCTACTGTAGGAATGACGGTCCCTTTTATGTGCATTATTTACATCAGTAGTGGAGCAGCCTGGGGTCAGACTCTCTCCTGGGACCTGGAATTTATCATTGTCTTCTACACCTTGTGTTCATCTGCCCCGGGATGGACTTCTGACCATATTCTTGGAGCACCTGCTCTGCTTCGTGTTGACTGAACCTGGACTGGCTTCCTATCCTGAAAACAAAGGCTCTGTTTCTTAGAGATCTCCAGGAGGAAGAAAAACACCCCATGGGGCTGGTCTGTAGCAGGAAGATGCCTGGGTGACCTCATTACCACCACCTCAGCCGTCCACCCACCGCTTGTGTTCCTTCCTGATCTTGCTTCTCACTCTTCAGCTCTTCATGAAGGACCACCGGCTCCACAGCATTAGTCCGAACTCACCTGCCATGCCCACTATCCTTTACATCAAAATAAGTGACTTGTTAGAATTAACATTTGTTTTCCCAGATGGCTCAGTGGTAAAGAACCCACCTGTCAAAGCAGGAGACAGAGAAGACAGGGGTTCGATCCCTGGGTCAGGAAGATACACTGGAGGAGGAAATGGCAGCCCACTCCAGTATTCTTGCCTGGAGTGTCCCATGGACAGAGAAGCCCGGCGGGCTATGGCCCTGGAGGTCACAAAGAGGCACACATGTCTTAGCAACTAGACAACAACTGTCTGTACCACCCTCACCCTCAGCAACAGGAAAAAAAAAAAGGAGGGTCAGTTACCACCTGGAAAAACATATATTTTTTTAGCTCCTGGAGACCCAACATGTATTAAAATTCCCATTATCTTAAAGAGGCAGGAAAGTCTCTGATGATCTTTTTCTGCAGTAAAATATACATAATATAAAATTTACCACTTGAGCCACTTTTTAAACTGATGTATAGTTGATTTACAATGCCTTAGTTTCAGGTGTACAAGAAAGTGATTCAGTTACATACATATGTATACATATATATATTCTTTTTTCAATTTATTTTTTATTTTATATTAGGCTACAGTTGATTAGCAATGTTGTATTAATTTGAGGTATACAGCAAAGTGACTTAGCTACAGATATGTACATATATTCTTCAGATTCTTTTCTATCATAGGTTATTACAAAATATTAAATATAGTTCCCAGTGCTATGAGCAGGTCCTGATTTCTTTATTTTATATGTAGTAGTGTGTATACCTTTTAGCCATTTTTCAGTTTACATTCACATTGCTGAGCAACCATTCTTACCATCATTTCCAGAACTTTTTCATCTTCTCAGACCAAAGCTGTCCCCTTTAGACACTGACTCCCTCTTCCCTGTGTCCCTCACCCCCACCCCCAGCCCCTGGCAGCATGTCCTCCTTTCTGCTCTTCTGAATTTGGCTACTCTGGGAACTTTATATAAGTGGCATCATGCAGTATATGTCTTTTCGTAACATAATGTTGTCAAGATTCACTCTGATAAATTTTGTATATGATATTGATTTGTCCATAACACTATTCCAGATCTGTGCTGAAGGCGTCACGTGCATTTTCTCATTTAACAAACTGGGTGGTAGGAGCTTGTTCTGCGACAGTTTAACAGGCAGTGTAGCCAAAGCTTAAGCTTAAGAGGGTTAAGTCACTTAGTCAGCTCCACTGAGATACTAACTGCAGACCTGACCCATCCCCCACGCCTGCCGCCTCCTCCCGGCCTCACCGACCACTCTGGGCTCCTTTGGCCAGAGCTTCATGTTGCTTCAACTCAGCCAATGGAAGGAGTCTGGTAAGAGGAGGATCACAGGAGCTCCAACTCCCCAAAATCTCCCTAAGCTCTGCTCAAGAAAACATAAGGGCTATCACTGAAGGGAACAGACGCTTGAAACAGTTCAACTAAAGAAAAATGAAATAAAAATTTGACTGTTTAAGGATTTTCTCCATGGATTGCTAAAAGTCTCTTACCTTAAGAGAAAAATTATAATAAAGTCAGATACAGTAATACATTCAGCCCAGGACATAAGAATCATATCTTACAGGTTAAATGGAAATTATGAAGCTACAGCTCTCTATAAATTAACTTTAGAAAATAACAGCTTTGGAATGTTCCTGATGGTCCAGTGGTTAAGATTTTGCCTGCCAATACAGAGGTTGTGGGTTTAATCCCTGGTTGGGGAGCTAAGATCCTACATGTCTTGAGGCCAAAAAAACCAAATATTAAAACAGAAGAAATACTGTGACAAATTTCATAAAGTGTTTAAAAATGGTCCATGTTAAAAAAAATCTTGAAAAATAAATCAATAAAGTAAAATTTAAAAAGAAAATAACTGCTTTATCGATATATAATACCAATACCACACAATTTCCTTACGTATACTGTACAGTTCAGTAACTTAACTTTTTGCTAGGGCGAGAATGGCCTGACCTCTGACCACTTTACATTTTTTCACTTTGACTGGAGGAGTCAGACAGGATTAACAGAGCCCAGGGTCCTTGGGTGGCCTGGCTGGCCAGGTTTCATACTAGGAATTTGGTTGGATTTTTGTGGGTGTTGTGCTCAATCGTGCCCAACTCTTTATGACCCCATGGACTATAGCCTGCCAGGCTCCTCTGTTCATGGGATTCTCCAGGCAAGAATACTGGAGTGGGTTGCCATGTCCTCCTCCAGAGGATCTCGTGTCTCCTACATCTCTTGCATTGGCAGGTGGAGGGTGGTCCGCTGCTTCTGTGTCCAGGACTGTTTAATACCTTAACCTTAAGGCTTCCTATGTTAGTAGGCTGTTTGGAGTTCCATTGTTATACAACAGATAACACTGAATAAAAGTTTAGGCTCCTGGTCTCTGCCCCAAATGCAAGGCCCTTCCCACTGTGCATATCAGCATTTCCATGAGCTAAGAAGTTTCCACTTGCAAATTCAGATGTCTATCTCTCCCACTGCTTCAGAGGAGCTGAGAGCCGCCAGTCTCCAGGCCCAGGCTGCCAGTGCCTGGGGCTTGGTGGGGAGGAAGGACCCTCTGTGTGAAGAATAACGGGAGGAGGAAGGTAGGGGTCATGCGTGGGGAGGGGAACCCTTTCTCCCTTGCCTTCTGCTCTGTCTTCAGTTCCCCACTCCTGTGCTCACTCCTGGGACAAGGAAGGGAATAAGACTTGTGAGGATTGCGGGGTCCGGGGGTGAGGGGGGGTGTTGCTGGACAGACCTCACCCTCCTTTCCTGACAATCAGCTTTGAGGGCGCCCAGGGAGGGAGATCGGAAAGAAATTCACACTGGCTGTTAGCCTGTCTGCAGGGAACCTGAGGGGACAGGAAAGGGCTGTGTTGGCTCTGGTGGCAGAAGGGACTGCAGAGGACCTTCTGTGGCTGGTCCCCTGCAGACTTCGTGCACAGACAACATCGTATCAGCCGACACCTCTGCGGTGCGATGCTAACAGGAGCACTCTGCTCCATTAACTTGCTTTATCTTTGCAAAAATCCCATCAAGCAAATACTTGTATTATCCCTCACTTCACAGACAAAGAAACTGAGGTTCAGAAGAATTTAATAACTTGACGAATGCCGGCTAGTAGGGGGCAGAGCATGGATCCAAGCTCTCCTGGGACCAGGCCCTCCACACTGGGCTGCTTGCTTGAAACTTTATACACAATACAGGATCCAGTGTGTGTTCACATATCTATGCAATGTATATGATTGGCAATACATATGATATACATCGGCTTCCCTGGTGGTTCAGTGGTAAAGAACCCGCCTGCCAATGCAGGAGACATGGGTTCAACCCCTGGGTCAGGAAGATCCTGGAGAAGGAACTGGCAGCTCACTCAAGCAAGGGAAATCTCATGGACAGAGGAGCCTGGCAGGCTACAGTCCATGAGGTCACAAAGAGTTGGACACAACTTAGCCACCCCTCACCACACACACACACACACACACATATGCATATGATTGTTGTTCAGTCACTAAGTCACCTCTGACTCTCTGCGACCCCTTGGACCGTAGCCTGTCAGCCTCCTCTGTCCATGGGATTCTCCAGGCAAGAATACTGGAGTGGGTTGCCATTTCCATATCCAGGGGAGCTTCCCAACCCAGGGATCGAACCTGGGTCTCTTCCATTGCAGGTGATCTCCTGTATCATTGTGGGTTGATTTACCAACTGAGCTACCAGGGAAGCCCTGTGTGTGTGTGTGTGTGCCTATACAAATTTATCTTCCTCCATATTTGAAGACATGGCCGGTAATGATGGTACTTCTGGCACCAGACTTACCCCCTTTGAAAAGTAAAGTTCCTTGAATTCTTTGCTATCAGTCCTTCAGTCATGAATTAAATACAGTAAGCGGGTAGGAAAATGTTAATGGCACCAGAAGGCTAACTGGCTTGAATGCTGAGGCTGAATATGGTCTCTGCCTGCTTGGATGGTGGGAAGAGTTTGGCTGGACACGTTTCCCCCTCTGCAAGATATCTGCTCCCTAGATTAGACCTTAAGCCTGTGTTTGTTGATTGCTCAAGAATTCTGGATCTCTGCTTTTCCCAGAGGCAGTTAAAACATGCCAAGCTGGTGTTGCAAAAAAAAAAAAAAAAAAAAAAACCAAGCCTGTGCATTCAGCAAATATAACTCAACGAGCAGAGACGAGTCAGTCACTCACCCAGAGGGGAGCCCAGTCCTGCCACTGCCAGTGGAGCACAAGCCATGGACATGGAGAAGGTCAACTCCATGGACTTTGGAGAATTTATGGATGTGTTTGGAAACGTCATCGAGAGATGTCCTCTGATTGCAGCTGCGGTTTGGTCCAAACGCCCATTCTCTGACTTGGGAGATTTAGAGAAGCACTTTTTTGCCTTTATTGATGCTCTTCCACTGTCAGGTAAGGCTTTGGGGTTGGACACTGAGAGTCTCCGCAGAGGGATTTCAGGTGTGCTTATCAAAAAGATGGGGGAGGGAATTCCCTGATGGTCCAGTGGTTAAGACTCTGAGGTTTCGCTGCCAAGGGCCTGGATTCAGACCCTGATTGGGAGCTAAGATCCCACAAGCCATCAGTTCAGTTCAGTCACCCAGTTGTGTCCGACTCTTTATGACCCCATGGACTGCATGCAGCACACCAGGCATCCGTGTCCATCACCAACTCCTGGAGCTTGCTCAAACTCATGTCCCACAAGCCATAGTGTGGCTAAAAAAAATTTCTTTTAAAATGGGGGGAGGGGAGGTCTTGTGGCTGTTTTTTATTTTTAAACACAATTTTTAAAGGTTGCTTTCCATTTAGTTATTACAAAATATTGGCTGTATTCTCCATCTTGTAAGATATATTCCCGAGCCTATCTTAGACCCAGTCGTCTCAGCCTCCTCTCCCCCATCCGTAATGCCCCTGCCGCCACCACCCCCCCCCCCCCCCCGCCGCCCCGCCACTGGTAACCTCTAGTTTTCTCATCTGTGAGACTACTTTTTTGTTATCAAACTGTTTTGAGATATTTGAGCCTAGTTGCTTATCCCTGGTATACACATTTCCTTGTTTTTGCTGTGAGGCTTGGTGGGTTTCTTCAGACTTTTGCAAATGAGAGTCAAGCTCTTGCAATGTTCAGTGAGCAGTAGAGTGAAAGAAGGTTCCTTGGCTCCGGTAAACTGGCTGTTAAATATTAAAGCTCCGGGGTTACCAGGAAAGAGGAACCAGCGGCTGCCTCCTCTGGCCTCAAAGCTGCTCAGGGACCAAAGGTCAGGCTGGTGCCCCCCCCACCACCACCACCTCAGCCCTGCGTTGGCTTTGGGAATGTCCATTATGCAAGAGAGGAGACTGCTCCGTATCAGACTATCTGAGGAGCCTGGGGGGAAAGAGAGAATGGCTGACGTTTTACCAGAAAGGGCCGGTTTGGACTAAGCAAGTAAAGTCCCTCAGGCCAGCAGCTCCCTGTGGGTGTGAGGTGCGGGGGTGGGGGGCGGGGGAGACAAAAGTCTGAAGAGATCCCTCTGAAGAAGGGTAGAAAATCTCCTTTGGGTGGAGAGAGAAAAGGAGGCCCTTGGGTGGGTGTGGGGTGGGGAGAGGAGGGAAGTTCGGGGTCAGGCCAATCCCAGGTGAGTCAGAAGGACACACAGCCTCCCAGGGGTTCACAGGCCAAAGGTCAGTGGCTGAGGCTGCCTCCCGGGCTGTCCTCAAGGTCCCTGGAGAAGCCTGGATTGGCTGAGGGGACCTCGAGGGGACAGGCTGTCTTCACAGAGGGGCTTCCACAGGGAGCTGGGCTGTGGGCGCGGCGCTCTGTTGCACCACAGTCCTGGCCTGTGAGCCCAGGGCTCCGGCAGGGTTTCCAGAGGTCAGAGGGAGGCTCCCAAACAAGGGGCTCCTTTATTTCATTTTAGGTACATTCAGGAAGATGGGAGGATGGGGGATTAAACCAAACTGACAGGAATGTGGAGGCCCTGACTTCCCTGTGGTCCAATGGTGAAGACTCCGAGCTCCCAGTGCAGGGGGGCCCCGGGTTTGATCCCTGGTCAGGGAACTAGATCCCACACCTGCCACAAGTAAGAGTGTAGGGGCCCTGTTGACCCTCACCCACTGCCTGTCCAAAGCTGGACCCGCAGAGCCCGCAACCCAGCTGGCTGCAAACGCGAGGGACCCACTGTACCCAGGCCAGTGTCAGAATCCCATCCCACCCCGTGGACAGTACACTGGAACATGATCAAGGTTTGCTAAGGGAATGAATGAAATCGTTTCTAAGGGGATGTTGAAAGATGGGGGAACCTGGCGTTACCCTTCCCCACACACTTTAACTGGGGCGACTTTCGCAGCAGGTCAGTGGGACAGGACCACTGGAGGCATTTGGAGCCACCTGGGCGCTCGCTGGCTTCTGCGCTCCAGGCAGCTCTTTGAGGGGCCTCCCTGCTGGTAGAGCTGCTTCTCAGCCCTGCCCTGGTGGCCACACTTGCCTGGGGCAGCTGAGAGCGCAGTCCTCTCTAATCACCTCCTCCTATCTAATCATCTTCAGGGCATTAGGCAAGCCGAGTTAGTGGTGGAAATAATGAGGACAACCCCTAAAATGCATTTCCCCCTTACTATTGCTGTCTTTCAAGCACCTTTCCCAACAGTTGGCATTTACTAACCCCCTTAATCCTTATAATAATCCTATAAAATAAGGATTATCACTATTATCCCCATTTTACAGATAAGAAAACTGACAAACCCTGATAATCAACTCAACAGCTTTTGAAGAATTTTCTGGAAATTCAAAGGCAAAATCTAGAAACAGTTTCTAGGGACTTTAGCTATTCATTCAGATTTATTCAATAATGTTAATGTTGATGTACCAGATATTTGGGGTTTTATTTTTATTATTATTATTTTTATCTTTTTTTTTTTCCTTGGCTACATTTCTTGACTTGCAGGATCTCAATTCCCAGACTAGGGATTGAACCCCGGCCAGCAGCAGTGAAAATCCAGAATCCCACCAGGGAACTTGCTGATTTTTATTTTTTTTAAGTGTTTTTTTTTTTTTTAATGTGGACCATTTTAAAAGTCTTTATTGAAAATGTTACTCTATTGCCTCTGTTGTTTGTGTTCTGGCTTTTTGGCCAAGAGGCATATGAGATCCTAGCTCCCCAACCAGGGATCAAACCCACACCCCATGCGTTGGAAGGTGAAGTCCCCACCATTGACTGCCAGGGACGTCGCCTCCCTAGTTTTTAAAATAATCAAGTAAAAGTCTAGCTTTTCTTCTTGGATGTGTGCTCACAACCCCATAGACTGTAGCCCCCCAAGCTCCTCCATCCGTGAAATTTCCCAGGCAAGAATACTAGAGTGGGTTTCCATTCCCTGCTCCAGGGGATCTTCCTGACCCAGAGACTGAATCCATTTCTTCCTGCATTGCAGGCAGATTCTCTCCACTGAGTCTTTGGGGACGCCTTACTCTTTAGAGAGTAAACAACAAACTGGGTGTAACAGAGTCTTTGAATCCTAAAACTAAAAGGGCCCTTATAGAGATATTCAGGTTATGATGATCTATGTAGTCAAGGATTTGTTTTAGATGATCTAAGAAAACTTTCTGTCATTTAAAGAAAACTGAAAATTCTGTTTCAGGAGTAAGCCAAGGTTGACAATTCATTCCGGAGACACTATCATGATTACTGACCAGTAGGTGGCAGTATAGGACTAATATTTAGCTCCAAAACTAATTGGCAAAATACCTTTTCAAGCCAATCAGTTCCTGATTCCCAAGCCAGAGGAATGGCAACAATAAAGGGAAGAAGGTTCACACACACACACACACACACACACACACACACACACACACACGGCCAATAATGAACAAATTCAATAGTGATTTGTATTAAACATCAAAGAGCAATAAAAATGTCATAACAGTTAATCATGCATCTTTCTGTGGCATTTCAGAATAGCAATAATGCCATGATTCATTACCTAATACTTATTTCAGAAGATAGTTGTTGAAAGCATCAAAGAGTTGGATACCGATAACTTCCTTCAATACAGGCTATAAGGTATTTATATGAGGCTATTAAGATGTGTTTGTTCAGTCAAAAAATATACAGCACTTTCTCCCCCGAGTGTCAGTCAATAAACACTTACTAAGTGCCTACTCTCCCCTGGGGAATTGTCCCTGGCCCTGGAGATAGAGCCACGCACAAGTCAAGTCCCTGCCTTCAGTTAGCTGACATTTCAGTGAAGAGATGCAGGATTAGCATACATACAAAAGGATCGTTTCAATTCTAGAAACTATGAGAAGAACATTTGTACTAGGATAGAACATGTGTAATAAAAGAGGTCTTTCTTAAGAAGTGACAAGAAAGACCAAGGCGGTTGGAGAATGGTGTAGAGTGGAGGGATGTGAGGAAAGAGGTCAGGTGGAGGGCCTGCAGTAGCAGTAAAATTGAGAGGTGATGGTCAGGTGGACTAGGGTTGGAGCAGGAGAGATGAAGAGACGTGGCTGGATTTTCAGGATGAATTTCAGAGTTAGAGACAACAGGTGTTTTTGATAAATTTGTGGCAGGAAGGCAGGTCAGAAACAAAGAGAAATGAAGGATTGTTGTATTGTTGTTTAAGTTGTGTCTGACTCTGTGACCCGATGGACTGTAGCCTGCCAGGCTCCTCTGTCCATGGGATTCTTCAGCCAAGAAGACTGGAGTAGGTTGCTATTTCCTTCTCCGGGGGATCTTTCCAACCCAGGGATCAAACCTGCGTCTCCTGTGGCTCCAGCATTGGCAGGCGGATCTTTACCACTGAGTCACATGGGAAGCCCGAAATGAAGGAGAACGCCTGTGTTTTTTATATGAGCAGCTGAGTGGCTGGTGGTCTGTCTTCTGCAATGAGGGAGAGTTCGGCACTGAGAGGACAGGATGGAGAATGGGAGCCTGGCAAGGCCGAGATGCCGAATAACCATCCAGAGGACAATACTGAGTGTTCAGTTGGCTCATAACAAAGGGACTCAGGGGAAAAGCGAGGACTAGGCTAGACCCGGGTGTCCTGAAATAATCGATGGCATCTGAAGCTAGGGGGCTAGATGAGAACACTTAGGGCATCCATGTGAATCAGAAGGGAGGAGGTGTGAGGACTGAGTCCGGGAGCGCTTGTGTGGCTGACCTGGACCAGTGATGAGGATAAGCGATGATGGGAATCTTCCAAGGAGAGAGGGTCAACCACATGACATGCTGCCAAGAGGCTGAGAGAGAAGAGGCCAGAGCACTGGCCATTGGCTTGAGCAAGCTGTCTGTCGCCTGTGACCCGAGAAGTGCAGCCTGGCAGGTCGTTGGGGCTGGAGGTGTGATGGGGTGAACCTGGGAGGTGAGGAGAGGAAGTGGAGATGCGGAGCAGACAATCCCCTCCAGCAGCTGTGCTGTGAGGAGGAGCAGAGACCCAAGGAGGCACTAGGGGACCACAGGCAATCGAGAGAGGGTGCGCCTTTTGTTTAGGGGCTGAGTGCTTCTAGGCCCGGTTTGTGTGTTGATGAAGTGGCAGTGATGTTGCGGGGGGGGGGGGAGGGTTGATCGTTGAAATCATAGCCTTTGACATGGATGGAGGCGCTGGCTCCCGGAACACAAGTGGAGAGAGAGGGTGGCCCAGGCCATGCGCAGGACAGGAGGGAGGGCACACCAGCTGGGACAGTGTGGGGACACTGGAGGATGTTGATGGGCTCCCAGACCAACCTCCTGCTCTTCAGCGGCCGCCACTGTCTGCTAATACAATGAGGACTGTCGGCTCCGTGCCAGGAACTCTTCAAGGGGCAGAGATTCTTGGTCTGTGGTCGCAGCAAACAATGCCTGTCCTCACCTGCATCGCCAGACCATGCCATGCCAATGGCAGAGGCGGTGCTGTCTCAGGTTTTAGGACAGGCTGAAGGACAGACAGTACTGAAAGGCCTGAAGTGAGACACCCAGGCAGGTTTGGTCACTCCAGGTAGGGGGACTGCAGGGCTGAGGTGGGGAGTACCCAGGTGTGGTCTCCAGCCTCCTGTTGGGGCTTAAGGCCACTGGGAATGCAGCGCTGGAGGGGGGACTGAGCTGTCCGGCAGGAAGGATTGGAAGGGGCATATCAGTGGTTTGGGGCAATAAAGATGGAGTCGTTGGCTCAACGGGCTCAGATTCTATTTCTCCAGAGCTACCATTGCCTGCCTGCCTCCCTGCACCATCTTCTTTTACCTACATTTGAGGGCTCTGTGTGTGTGTGTGTGTGTGTGTGTGCGTGCGTGTTTAAATCCTCTTTTCTGATCTCTTTTCTTCTCTTTGCTGTGCGCTTCCCTCATCCCCCTTGTTTCCCGCCACCAGCGGAAAACATGCTCAGTTCTGGGCAAACATTAACCCCAGGTGATGTTTTCAAGAGAGGGAAGAGCCCAACGGAGTGAGAAGCCATGTGTCAGGGCCAGAAAGAAGAGGCAGGTCCCGGATGTGGGCAGCCACCCACAGGACCGGGGTTCTGCTTGGGGACACCAGGGGACAGACCCAACCCCTGGCCAGGTCCTCCTAGCAATAACCGCGTCCTCTGCGCTGGAGCCGGCCCTCTGCAGAGTAAGAAATGGTGGGGGGGGGGCGAAGCTGAGGAGTTCAGTGAGAAGGCGGGGTCTCAGCCCCTCACTTCCTCACCCCTCTGAAAATCTGAATAAACAAGGAGGGTGCGCAGGGCTGGCCTGCGGTCAGAGCCTGGGAGCTTCCCAGGCCCCCGCCACCCCCACCCATCTAGGGGGGTCCAGACTGGATGGGTGTGGAGCGGATTCAGGGGGCGCCCAGCCTCAGGCTTGGGCAGCCTCCGCAGCACAGCCATCCTCCAGCCCAGGGCTGGGGGCGCCCAGGTAGGGACTTAATCACCTACGTTTTCGCACCACCCGGATGCGCTGGATGCGGGGACCAAGCGCCCCAGCTTTGCAAAGCCCAGGAGAGGTATTCTAAAATGGGAGATATTGCCGAAATGGGATTACGGGTGACCTGAGTTTCGCTTTAAACCACCTTTAATCTTGAAGGGGCAGCCAGTGCCCCGAAGCCAGTGGGCTGGAGTCCAGGAACCCCACGCAGGCAGCTTCCTGGCTCAGCGACCTTGGGCAGGTCACCCACTCCTTTCTGAGCCTCTGGTGAAGCCTGTCTTCAGCGCAGAGGTCCCCCCACCCACCCCAGTTCTCCCACCTTTCAGGACACAGGTCCACAAGTCAGCAATCCCAGTCATCCTTCAATTGGGCAGAAGCTGTAAGATTTAAGCAGGGGGAGTTTATACCCTAATTAAAGGAAGAGTCAGTCAGTAATCCCCTCTTCCCAGAGGAGCCCCACGCCTGTCCTCAGCCCCAGGGACAGAAGCTTCCAGCCGCAGGGCAGCCCAGTTACACTGAGTTTACTAGGACAGGTAATACGGCTATTTATTGAAAAACTGCTAGCATCAGGTGCTGTTTGGGTAAACTGAATGGTCTCCAATCCTTGCCACCCCTCACCAAGCTAGGTGTCAGCAGCCCCATTGTTCGCAGTGGGTTCCCTGTTTAGCATATCTGAAAGCTTGCCCAGCCCCAGGATTCTAAATCTCCCTTTAGAGAGCTAAGTAAAATGATTGGCTAGGGCTCGGGAAAACCCCACGGGTGGCCAATTTCAGGCCAGTGTTCGGAGATGAGGAGAAGCTGCCTTCCCAGGAAAGGTTGTTCTCCAAGAATTGTTTTGAGATCTACCGTGGGAGAAGGGAAACGAGCCTCAGACACGGTGGGTGGTGAGTGGTGCTGTTTTCCTAAAAGGAGGAAGCCACTTTCGTTCAAAGGGCCGTAGGATTCGGCTGGAAATGGGTTTCTTTGCAGTTAATCATCTGCAAAGCTCTTTGCACGCCTGATTCCAGAAGCCCAGAACTCACACTTAGGGTCACAAAACCCTGGGCATTTATTTGCCAAGCTCCAAGGATGTTATCCCTGTGGACCCTCCCCGCCCTTCTCCTTTCCAGAGCGAAACCCATTCCGTGGCTTTTGCAGGAAGTCTTCAGGCCCTTGTGTCCGGCCCTCTCCGACATCAAAGCCCCCCTGAGAGCAAAGGACTTTGAAAAGATACGAAACGCTCGGGTTCCCTTATCGCGTCCCCGCTCCCTCCCGAGCAAGTCGTAAATTCCGAGCCTCCGCGGCCGCTCCCCACGGTTCTGCTGGCCCCAAGGTCTCAAAGGACAGACTTGTCACTTCCCGCCCCGCCCCCAGGGCCCCGGCCGAGGCCGAGTGAAGCGGGGTTGGAGGGACGCAGGGCTCGGGACGAACTGGAGGGGGGCGGGTGCGCTGGGCGCCCCGAGCTGCCCCTCATCAAGTCCCGGGACCCTGCTTTTCTCAGAAGCCCTTCGGGCGCGATAACGCGCTCCCGCCGCCGTGTGTCTGTGCTTCTCCGCAGGCCAGGAGGGCGTCCTGCGCTGCCACCCGGAGCTGGCGGGCCGCGAGCTGCAGTGGGGCCGGCTCACCGCCGAGTCGCAGCGGGAGCAGAGCGCCGCGGGCCTGCAGAACCTGGGCGCGGCCGAGCGGCTCCGGCTCAGCGAGCTCACCGCGCAGTACCGCGCGCGCTTCGGCTTCCCCTTCGTGCTCGCCGTGCGCCTCAGCGACCCGGCGGCGGCGCCCCGCGAGCTGGCGCGACGGCTGCGGTGCCCACCAGCGCAGGAGCTGCGCACCGCCTTGGGCGAGGTGAAGAAGATCTGTCACCTGCGTCTCGCCGACCTGCTCGGGGAGCAGCCATAGCGGCCACGCCAGCCGGGGACCCCCGGGACGCACGTCGGGACGCGCGCCAGGGCCGCGGGCGCGCGCGATGCTCTTGGAATGGAGTCCACCCCCGCGCACGGAGGCCGGGGCGAATCAAGACAGTCGCACGAATAACGAACCCTTCTGTTCCCCTCTCCACACGCGCACCCTTTGCCAAAATATCTGTTGATAGTTTTGGGCTTTGCCACCGATGTATCCAGCTTACTGCTCCAACTCTTCACTCCCATTGCGGCCCGTTGACACCACCAGCCCATGCAGATTCCAAAGCGCTTATCCAGTTCGTTTTGGCTCCGCACCCTCTCCTGCTATACTCCCAGCTACAAAACAAAACGGACAGAAAAGGAATCTTTTACTCTACAGCGGTTTGTCTGTTCTTTTATTATTATTATTATTCTCCCACCTTAGTTGCTGCGCCGACACTTACACGAGAGTGGAAGGAGTCTCTCTGGAACTTGGAGAAACGCAGAAGCTTGAGCTGGGACTGGCGAAGCGGCCTGCGGGGATGGAGGGCGGGAGAGAGCCCGCGGGGGTCGGCGTTGGGAGGTACCCGGTGGGGGCCGGCAGAAAAGGCTAGGAGTGGGGCTTCTCCATGCTGGATGGGCCTGAAGGTCCGGGGCCCTATAGCACTGATCAAGGGGGGAAAGGAGGAAAATCGGTTCCCATAGCAAGCTTTCTGGCCAGAGGAGGCCTGAACTGGGGTTCCAGAGCCCCAGAGACCTGGGGTCTAGTGTGTCCACTCACACAAGAGCAGCCCACCACCTTGCTCTCTCTCTCAGTCGTACCCACCAGAAGGCCCAACAAACGCCAACAAGCGCTCCTTAGGCTTCTGTTGGCAGAGGAGAAACAAGTCATGCCATCCTCCTTGCCTCAGAGGGAGTAAGACATGAAGGCAGAACTGGCCCTTCTGAAGACACGAACCTCCATTAGTGACCAGCCAGGGTCTGTCTGCTGGGCAACAGGAGCAACAGAACCTTTCCGTAAAAAGCACTGCGGCAGCACCCTTGGTAGGGGGCTAAATTCCACGGACAGAAGCCACTGTGGTAGCACGGGAATTTCAGTCCAGGAAGCCCGCTCCCCTTTGCCGACTTACAGGTGGCCTGCTAGCGGTGAGGGTGCAGGATGGAGGCTGGGGGCTGGAAATGGCGTGAGTGGGGGAGCCAGGTGAGCGAGGCCCCACCGTGGCTGTAGACCAAGGTCTCCCCTGCCATGGGTGGGCAGCGGGGCCAGGGGCGTCCCCAGAGCCTTCTCTGGATGTGAGAGCACCAGCAGTCTCACAAAGGACCTGGATGCAAAGGTGGGGCCCCGGGCCTGGGGCTAGACGCCTGCCTCCCTCTAGCCGGGGTAACCTGGGGGCTTTCCTGACACAAGCGAGAAACCTGCTGTTTGGCAAAGAAGGGTTTCTGGTCCCGGACACAAGGACCAAGGCCTGGGCCTGAGACTGAGACTAATAAATTGTGCTGAAGGCACCCTGCCCAACCCTAGGGTGAGCCCACCTCTTGGCCAGAGGGACCCGCATATAAATATGCTCAGGCTAAGACAAGCGGGAATCCCCAGGGCCAGATCCGAAGCCCTATTTTTAGAGGTGAGGAGCTGCATTTTGCACTGATCAGGCACCATCTGGTGCCTACTATTACACAGTGAACATTTCGAGGGCTCAAAGCTTGTCCGCAAAATTGTTTTTCTTCTGGAGGGGATGCGGGTGGGAGAAGGCGCTGGACTCGCCCCTTCAAAGGAGCTGGGGGAGAGAGGGGAGAGCCTCTACCTAAGCCAGGAGCACTGGCAGTGGACTCAGGAGGTGGGGGGGGGGCGGCGCGGGGAAGACCCTGGACACCCCATACCCACCTCCTGTCCTCCTGCCGGCGGCTCTCCTGAGGCTGCCGAGGTCTGGCAGGGCAGTTTTCTTCTGCCACATCTTGGCTCAGACAGTGATGTCCTGGGCTTGGGCACGTTTTCTGGTTTCTGTGCTCCGGTGCGCAGGACACGGGAAACGAACCAAACGGACAGCAGAGACCGTGGACTCGGACTCGGGCCTCAGTAGAGGCACCAGCCAGGACCGCTGGGTGGCCCGGAGATGTCGGGGCAGGGGGTCCAGAAGTGGTGGTGCAGTTTCCCGGGTGAATAGTTAATATCCGTACTTACTAATTCATTAAAAAAAAAAAAGCACAATGGCAACTCTAAGAAAAGTCGGAGAGCAAAGAGCTGATTTCAGTTTCAGTAACTGTTTAATTCCTCCACACGCACTGCCTTCCGAGATAGGGGTGCTGCTTCACCCACTGTCACTCCCCCTTGAAATGTTCAAGACCAGCCGTCGAGCGGAGGCCCCAGGAGAACGCTCCTGCTGGGAACTGATGAGCCCAGGTCCCACTCACCTACGTGATGGGAAACTGAATGGGAGGTCTCTTTCCGCCACCCATACAGGTACAACCCTTTGGGGTCGTGTGTCCAAAAAAGGTGCAGGGACACTGCTGGGGAAGTAGAGGACAAAGGAGAAAAGACAAAGACAAAAGAGGAGAAAGACAAGCCGATTTCTTTGCATTCCCTTTACTCATTTTGAATTTGACACATTTCCAGGGGTCAGCCACAGGATGTGGGTTCCCATTCAAAAAATAAAGATGAGCTCTTTTGCAGAAAGTAATTTACTGTGGGATAGATGGATGCTTTTCCTGGCAATTGAAGAAACATCTGGATGGAGTTCAATAAACTAATACACCACAATTGGCAGGTGCCCCTGAAAGGGAGAAATATAATAAATAGGACTTGGAAAGCAGAATTGTCACAACAGCTCAACCGGATTGTTTTGAAACTATTTGGTGCGTGGGGTGGGAAGCCAAACTCCCCCCACCCCGCCCCGAACCCCGTGAGGCCAGTCGGTTTGGGGTTGGGGAGGCGGTTTCCAGGGTGCACCCGAAGCCTTAGTAATTATTAACATTTGCACAGAGTGCTCCTGGTTACAAAGAATGCACCTGTATATAGCTCATTTGATGTTAGTGACCAGAACAACTAGCTGTGTGACCTTGGGAACGTCACCCAACCTCTCTGGGCCTCAGAGTGTTGCTTTGTAAAATGCAAAGGCTACAGACACGAAGTCCTTTGTCCCCCCAACCCCTCCATCAGAGTTCCCTGGTGGCTCAGATGGTAAAGTGTCTGCCTACAATGCAGGAGACCCAGGTTCAATCCCTGGGTTGGGAAGATCTCCTGGAGAAGGAAATGGCAGCCCACTCCAGTATTCTTGCCTGGAAAATCCCATGGACAGAGGAGTCTGGTAGGGCTCCATGGGGTCGCAAAGAGTTGGACACGACTGAGCAACTTCACTTTCGACTTTCCTCCGAGAGAGTAGCGTCCAATGGGCCCACTGACCCAAGGAGAGCTGCACCTTTACCTGCCCCTTCCCTCCGCCACATAGAGCCTGCTGTGTAGGGCTTCCCGGGAACATATTTTCATATGACAAAGGTCATCACTTTAGGCACGAGACATTGGTGAGGGAACAAGCAGTAACTCCACGCCAAAGCCATGTGATAGCATTTAGGTGTTGCTGGCCTGGGGGCCGGGTCTTTCCCACAGTGAGCGCTCCCTCTCAGGCTTTTAATTCTTGCTCTGTGCTCACGCATCACACATCACATATGTGTGATGCATATGTGATCATCACGCATCACACATCACGTATGACATCCACAGACTGATTCTAACAGGGTGGGTGGGGAGGGCGGGGGGAAGAAATGGGGGCAACCACCATTTATTCCCATAATTTCCAGCCAGTGGGCAAAATCAGATTTCTGCACCCAAATATCAGCCCTTCATCTGAGGCTTTTTCTTTTCCTAGCTCTCCTTGAGCGGAAGGGAAAAAAAATTATTTCTTGCCCCTGGATGGGAAAGCTGTTTTCTCCACTCTCCTGCACCCTGAGTGTTAAACGTCTGGCCCACCAATGACTTCCCACAATTTCAGGAACTCTCCCGCAGGTAGGCAGGACCAGAGACTCAGTTTGCTTGGGGGGAACATTCTTGACTCCCTTGGGTGGGGACGTGCCTGTGAATGAAGCCGGGCAGCTGTGGGCAGCTGCGGCCCCTCCCTGCCGTTCAGGATGAACACGTTGTACTCCTTTGTGACCTGATGGAACTGAGCGAGCAGCGGACTCTAGGGAGACCCTACAGAGAGGACACTGTGATTGATCTCCCTCCCAGAGATGTTAGCCGAGTTGGCAGGGCAGGGTTTCTTGGGGGGGGGGGGTGTGTCAAACCACCACTTATAGAGGTTTCCTTTGTGTGAGGGGATTGCTGACTTCATGCTGCCATTGTTGGCCCCAAAACTCTCCAGCTCCAAACTACACAGGAACCAAGTGGTTTTCCCACAGCAGTGTAGACTGCCAAGATGAATGGTTTTATCAGACAACACTCTCTTCCTTGTTGCTCTTCCTTATTTCTCCTGGGAATTCAGGTCAGTGCAGGGTGAAGGCTTCCCATGCAGGGCAAGAGAGGGAGTTTGCAAGGGCAGTGCTCTTTGGATCATTTCCTTGATCTGAAAGGGTTTCAGAAAGTAGGTTTGCTTGCTAAGGTGGAACAGACAGCCTGCCCTACCTAGATGTTAAGGGTCACAGGTGCCCCAGTTCCAGGAGCCACAAATTCGGGGAAAAGCAGGGTCCCCCCCAGGCTGGAGCAAACACTGGGGACCTTTGAGCAGAGAGGCAGCCCTGTCAATGATCTGTGGATTCAAGGAGTGTCTCATCTCCCTGGAAGAGCGGCCCGCCCCTTCCGGTGCCTCCTGCTCCCCACACGGCTCTGTGCCCCTGCCCTTGCCAGCAGCCGGGATCCTGGAAACCCAGACCCTCTCCGAGGAATGTGGAGTGGCCCCGACACTGTCAGTAACAATGAGACGTCCCTTTGATAACCTGAGTGGAACCTGCCCCCGGAGTCTTACAGACCCTTTTATTTACCTGGGTCTCTTTCTTCCCACCTTGTCCTGCCCTAAGCAGCCTAGTCAAGCTCTGTGGGGTCACAGCCTCAGGCCCAGCCCCACCCCAGCCCCAAACTTCCCTATGACTTGGAGACCCAGGTACTGGTAGGCTGAGCCAGAGTCTTGAAGAATGAAGGCTTGGGACAACTATTGAGGGTGGGTCTCAGCTCAAGCCAAGAGGCTCTAAGAAAGCCACCAGGTACCTTGGTCTCTGCTGGAGGCCTGTCCCACGTGGCACCTGCACTCCCCCAGGGCCACACACCTGCACCCAGAGGCCGGAGGAGCTGCCTCCCCTCCCCCACCCAGAGCAGGTTTCCAGGGGTCAGGAACCCGACAAAGGCCTCTCAGAGGCTAAGCCGTGGTGATGAAAAGACACCAGGCTCTCTTCCCATCAGCCACCTTGCACCCCTCTCTGATTGCTCCAGACAGCCTGCCCCTGCAGGAACCCAGATGGGCCCCCTCTTGGCTGAGGGAGCAACCCAGACATGAGGGGATATTTTCACTCCAAGGAGCTTGTCCAAGGACATCATTATTGCCTCCTTTCCCCTCACCCCCAGCCCAGGGCCCAGAACCAAGGAGGGGCCATGCTACTGCCATGAGTGCCCATTTCTTCATGAAGGACACCAGCCAGTGTCCTCTCTCTTGCCATCACACCCCACACCCCAAGTGAGCGTGGGTCTCTCTGAGATCTGGCGTGACCCCTGGGGCCAGATTAACCCAGGCCGCTCCCAAAGCATTTGGGCAGGCAGGCCAGGGCCCTTTCTCCAGGGCAGAGCGGAGACACAGCTGGAAAACCGGGACAATTAGCCAGCGGCCGGCGGCCATAAAAACGCAGGAAGCGGCCACCGCAGGGCGGAGGGGGCTGGCTGTCCCCAATAAAGCGATTGTCCCAAAGAATGCCCACATTCCGAAGACTCGGGCGCAAGCCTGGGCCTCGGCTTCCAGAGCTGGAGGCTTGGGAGGGGGCTGCTGGTGGGGGGGGGGGTTGGAGGCGGAAAGAGGGATTGTGTCTCCCAGGAAGAGGAGGAAGATGTTTGCTAGATCAAACGTCTGCAATGCTCCCGCCACTTAACCTCCCACATCCCAGCCCCATCTAGGTCCACAGACTACCCCGCCACCCCATGACGCCCCCCCCCCAACTCAGTGACTTGGATTCTGTAACGGGCTTTGTAATTTGTTTCCTATTTTATTTCTCAAGAGGTCCAATGACCCTCAGTTATCTGGGCCTGGCCTGGGGAGATCCACAAGGATGATCTGCTACAGCCTTCGCCAGTTGATTGCCCAGTTTGTTACCACCCACCCCCCACCATTTTAACCTCTTTCCTTAGGAAACACAGAGGACAAGAGGGAACAGCAAGGAGGAGATCCGAAGCCCTGATCTGGCAGGGGCCTGGCCTCTCGGAACTCTGCGCTGGCCGGCTGTCCTCTGTAAAGTGGAGAAGATGACAAGACCCGCTCTATTCCCGATCTGGGGAGATGTGAAGATCTAGGAGATAAAGGCCACTGGAAGGAGCTACAGAGATCACACGAGGACGTGACAAACACCAGAGACCGCTCCGTGGCGAGAACCGGCAGGGGTGGATCTGCAGGAGAGCCACTGCGCCCCGTTGGTTCCCGGAGTGCTCAAAGCCACCCAGCCCGCCTGCCCAGCCCGCTGCCCGGGCGCTGCGATCCTCAGAGCTCAGTCTGGCAGCGCCGTCTGGGCTCGGAGCGGAGGTAGACAGCAGCCGCAGGCCCCACTCCCCGCGGTTGCTGAACCGAGATGGGCGCCCGCCCGAGCGAATCTGGTCGCCCTGAGCTCCTGTCTTCCGACCGGTCCTGGCGGGTCCCGAGCCAGGCAACGCAGTACAGGTCCCCACGGCTGCCACTTCCAGCCCGGGACACAGTGCTTCCTGGGCCCTTCAGAAGCAATCATCAGTGATGGCTCGGGGTCTCTTTCCATCCCCTAGAGACAAAAAACTATTTTCTCCGGAGAAGTGTTTTACTTTGCAAATGAGAATGGTTTTAAGCCATTGGTTTGTTGTATGACATATACATACCTGGGTAGACATTAGCAGAAACCCTAGAGTCCCTTTTCCTTGATTCTAAACCACGTATTTAAGTATATAAACATATAAGTGTACCTTGCTTAGTTTTCACAGGCAACCCACACACCAGGACCCAGCTCAAGAAACACCAGGAAAAAAACACACCAGAACTCTAACAAACCCTCCTGCTCCCCTCCGCTACCACCCTCCCACCAGCCTGACTACTACCACTCTCTTCTTAGTTTGCAGTTAAGATTTCTGAGTTTGTACTGTAAATGCTTTTTCAAAAAAAATTAATAGCTTTGAGTCCCAAATATGAGATGAACTCGGAGATGCGACCTGCAACTAGGGTCTTAATTTATCTCGTGTGGAGGGCCAGCTGTTTCCCTAGGGAAGAAAAGAAATGATCAGCGGTGACAGTTGTTTGAGGGGCGCAGTCGGCCTGGCCAGGCGCGCAGAGAGGATAGGAACAGGCCTGTTTCTCCCGACTCCACCCGTCACCTCCCGGGCTGGCCAGAAACTCTGTCATCAAAGCAATGGCTTCTCTTTTTCTCTTTGGGATGGAAGGAACTTCTTCTAGACACCCCCTCCCTTCCCTGCAAATGCAAAAACACGACTCCTCAGTTCCTAAACCCCGATTCCCACCAAGATAGCTCTCCCCACCCCTCCACCCACTTTTGCAAGTCTCTTGATTTCATTCTTTGAACCTGTGATTGGAGGTTAAAGTGCACCAAGGTTGGAAGGAGGAAGCTCTTAACAATAAAGGTTTGAATATTTAGCTGTGATGGGTCGCAGCCCTCTGGAGAGCTCCCCCTCCTCCCTAATCTTTTAAAATGCAAATCGTGTTTCTAGGGGTTGTGCGCCGGGTGCGCGCTGCGCCTCGACGTCTCCAGCCATTGGTGTCTGTGTCATTACTAATAGAGTCTTGTAAACACTCGTTAATCACGTAAGGCCGCCGGCCTGGGGCTCCGCACGCCAGCCGCTGGCGGGTCTTCCCCGCCTCTGCAGCCTGGTGGAAAGGAGGTGGGAGGAAAGAAGGAAGAGAGAGCGGGAGGGAGGGAGGGAGGGAGGAGGCAGGCCCGAGGCAGGGACCGCCTCAGAGGCAGAGGCGCCGCGAGGAGCCGGCGGAGCACCGCGGGCCGGGGCGCAGCCACCCGCAGTTCCAGCGCCCCCTCACCCCCTTCGCCAGCGCGGCGCCCCCCGGCAGCCTCCAGCGTCCGTCCCCGGGCAGCATGGTGAGGTTCGCCGTCGGGCCCTCGCCACCATGTACGTGAGCTACCTCCTGGACAAGGACGTGAGCATGTATCCCAGCTCCGTGCGCCACTCTGGCAGCCTCAACCTGGCCCCGCAGAACTTCGTCAGCCCCCCGCAGTACCCGGACTACGGCGGCTACCATGTGGCGGCCGCGGCCGCCGCCGCCGCCAACCTGGACAGCGCGCAGTCCCCTGGGCCGTCCTGGCCGGCCGCCTACGGCGCCCCGCTCCGAGAGGACTGGAACGGCTACGCGCCGGGGGGCGCGGCGGCCACCGCCAACGCCGTAGCTCACGGCCTCAACGGGGGCTCCCCGGCCGCCGCCATGGGCTACAGCGGGCCCGCCGACTACCACCCGCACCACCACCCGCACCACCACCCGCACCACCCGGCCGCCGCGCCCTCCTGCGCCTCCGGCCTGCTGCAGACGCTCAACCCCGGCCCCCCCGGGCCGGTCGCCACCGCCGCCGCCGAGCAGCTGTCGCCGGGCGGCCAGCGGCGGAACCTGTGCGAGTGGATGCGGAAGCCCGCGCAGCCGGCGCTGGGCAGTCAAGGTGAGCCGGCGGGCGCCGGGGGAAGGCGCGGTCCCCGCGCGTCCGGGGACTCCGCGCAAGGGGGACGGGGCGGGGCGACCGCGTCTGGGGTCTCTGGACCCTTCCCCCGGGGGTTGCTGCTCTGGCCCCTGCGTGGGGGCTAGCGGGGTCGGGACTGGAGGTCCTGGTCTCACGAACCGCGTTCAGTATAAGGCAAAGGGGAGGCTCCCTCCTTCCCACCGCCCTTCCTTCGTAAGGTCGAGTCCTCTGACCCTCGGGAGACTCCCGGGAACGTGGCGCAGCGCGGCTGCAGCGCAGTGATCGCGTCCTCCCGGCTTGCTGCCGCCCGCCCTCGCTCGGTGCGCGGCTCCCCTGCAGCTCCCCAGGGCCGGGCTCTAGGGGCACGCCGTCCTTCCCTGTCCCGGCCACTCGGGAAGAAGAGGGGACGGGGGCAGCCAGGAGGGCGGCGCGGTCGCGCGAGGGACCAGGTTTAGCCATTGGGGCCAAAGGTAGGGATCGGAGCTACCGCGCTGGGGAAATCGGGAGAAGCTGCCGAAGCTGAAAGAAAGTGTTGGTCCCGGGATCTAAGTGGGGAAGAGGTGCGGCGCGGGGGTGGGGGGAGCACCCGGGTCTTCAGACCTTTGATCTGCGCAGGGGTCATTTCAATCAAAAGCCAGAGGGCTGGGACTGGACGCCCAGGAGTCCCCTCGTGTCTGCAGAGGGAGAAGGGGAGGAAGTGGTGGTGCGCGCTCAGCCGCTGCTCCAGACGGAGGTCGTTTCTCCGGAACCTTCCTTCTCAGGGTCTGGTGTGTGTGCGCGTGTGAGTGTGGGTGTGTGTGTGTGTGCGCGCGCGCGTGTTAGTTGTGTGTGTGTGGGTGTGTGTGCGCGCACACTCGTTTAACGAGCTTGCCCCAGAGATGTCTCTGCAGAGATCCCGGGTTGGCGAGACTGAGCAGGCTCGTGGGTTCCGGGTCTGCCCCGTCTAGCGTCTGAGTGTGTACAGTGGGGAAAGAGCTCCAGTAGGTGTGGTGGGAGAGTCCTGCTGGCTCCGTTTTCCCTCTATGAAGTCTTTCTCAGCCCTCTGCACTTCCGCTTTTTCCTCTTCCCTCCTTTCAGGCCCAACCCGGCCGGCATGCAGGTTATGGCCACTTTGCAGGGGTTTTATAGCCGATTACAGCCGCATAAATCAGAGCAGCCGTTGGGGGCTGTCTCCGGGGATCGGTTTTTTGCGTCACTGCGCACAGACCGGGACCCACCACGGGGGGAACTGCGGCGGTCCGGGGAGGAGGCCTCCGTGTCGACCTGGAGGGTCGGCTGGGTCCCTTCCCCCGAGAGGAGGCGCGCTCTCCTGGACAGAGAGCGCGCCCACGGAAGGCCCTTGGCTATCCTGAGCCTGCCTGGGGCGCCGGCCGGGGCGGTCTAAGGGAGACCCTTGGTGCGTCCCCGGAGAATGCGCGCAGAGCTGGCCCGGGCGGGGGGAGAGGGAGGCGTGCCACCGGAGCCCGGGCCGCGGGATCAGCGGAGGAGAGGGCCGCTGTGAAGTCCCGCGCCAAGGTGGCAAGGCCGCAGTCGGCGCCGGGCGCCCTTGTGATGTTAATGTGGGGCGGCCCGCCGGCCGGAGCCCGATTCCTCTGCGGAGCCTCATCCGTCAAGGGGCGAGTGGGGGGGTGGGGGGCGGGTGGGACCCGACCCAGTCCGCTTTGATATACACCTTCCCAGCCCTGCCATTGTCTCTTTTAGGGCCCGGAAAGAGGGTGGTGACTTTCGCAGTCAATAATGAATTCTGACAAGTCCCTCTCATCTCTCCCCTACTCCATCCCCCTCCTTGGTTCCCAGGGGGTGCGGGGCATCTCCGAGGTCCTCGGGGCGCGGGCTGCCGAGCACACTGGGGGGCTGGTCGCGCTGCCCCGGCCTCTCCGGATACTGAAAGGACAGCCCCAGCCAGAGCCTCTCCCGAGGGCCCCAAGGCGAGTCCCGCTCCTGGAGAGTCCGGCTCGGAGAACTCCCTTGCGCCCGGCTCCCCGGCCCGGGGAGGTGTCCTTTGTGGCTCCCACCTGGCCCGCGTACACCATCTGCGTGGTGATCTAGTCTGATCCTCAGTTTGCCCCTCCGTACGAAGGGGCCACCACCGCGGGCGGGCTGGGGGCGGCAGAGCAGGTTCCCAGGACTTGTCAGTTGCCTTTCCTTTCCCGGTGGGCGCAGGGTCGGGGCCGCCGCGCGCATTCAAATGCGCCCGCCACCGTGTTGATGTTAATGCGCCTGGCGGGGAGGGGGATGAAGGCCGGCCCGCCATTTGCTCAGTAGTGGTAATTCAAACAGAACGCGGTTGTTATTAAGGCATTGAAAGGGCTTTTCTTTGATAAGATCGCCTTGTCCTGCATTGTTTGAGGCTGTGTTCTCCTTTCAGCGGCTCCGGGGAGCTCCCTCTGATCCGGCCTGTATCTTCCCAGGGCGCTTTTGTTGTGGTTTGCAAAGGGTTTTACCTGAACAAAGTCGGCCTGCGGGGCATTAAACACCTCCGAGCAACTCCCCAGACCCTTTAGATCTTCCTGCAGCCCCGGGGCACCGGGCAATTGAACCTGTTCTTTTGGGGGAGAAGACCCCGACCTGGGACCGAGCGAGAACAGCTCCTGAGTTGGGGGGTTCTGCCGAGGGTCGACCCGGGACGGACCCGGTGGAGACGCGGGGCTCCGGTCTGCTCCGACTGCAGTCGCACTATTTGTCAAGGCCCTTCAGGAAAACAATCAATGCAAGGTTTAATATGTTGACTCAATCCAATGAGCAGTAGATCACTGGTCAGGATAGCTCTGGCAGGGTTTGCAGCAGAAATAAATGGAGGCTTAAAAAGAAAATTGTGCCAACCCAGGTTCGCCCAGGTATAGAGCCTCCCCAGCGAGAAGAATTATTGGCCTGCCAGACCCCTGCTCAGAATTCCACCGGATACGGCTGGTGAGCCGGGGGCGTGTGCGTTTCTAGTGACCTGAGGGGACAGCTGTCAGCTGCTGCACCCCCTTTCCACTTCTGATAAAACAAACAGAAAGGGAATCCGCCCCCCACCCACATACCCACAATCCCAGCTGTTTTTACTGTGAGCTGTTTTTTTTTTTTTTAAACCTCTGATGGGCCTGAAAATCTGAATATTCCCAGGACGGTTTTCCTTTTGGGCTTCACCAGCTCAGGTGCTGTATTTGCTTTACAAAACCCCTGATGGAATTGTGCTATCACCTGTATGAATTCTTCAGTTCAGTCGCAGTCGTGTCGACTCTTTGCTACCTGTATGAATTTTTAGTTTCTCTTTAATTTTCAAAAACCACTTAATTCCAAGACTAGGTTAGTTGTCCTGAATAGCCCCCCCCCTGGGGGGGGGTCTTGTCAGACTCAGCAGGAACCAGCCAAACAGCGGCCCCCCAGGGCGATGGAGGAAGAGAAACGGTCCCTGGGTTAGGGAGGTTTGTCATTACCCATGACTGATGAGCTGCCCTGCAGTTCTCCGGGCTAACTTTGCCTTCCTCTACAGTGAAAACCAGGACGAAAGACAAATATCGGGTCGTGTACACGGACCACCAGCGTCTGGAGCTGGAGAAGGAGTTTCACTACAGTCGCTACATCACCATCCGGAGGAAAGCCGAACTGGCCGCCACGCTGGGGCTCTCGGAGAGGCAGGTAGGAAGCCTCCAGGGCCCCATCACTGCCTGGGAGGGTCCACTGGGGAGGGTTAGAATCCAGGCCCGGGGGCCCACCTCGTTCTGTGGGCAGATTAAAGCAAGAGGATCAAAAGATAAATAAATTAATAAATAAAAATTTTTAAAAACGCAAGAGGATCGAGAGACTTTTCCTTCTAGATGCTTTTTAAAAAGGCTTCTTCCACATCTAGTTGTCTTTTTAAAAAATATATGTATATTGTTGATTTTTTTTTTCTATTTTGGGGGAGCTAGGAGGTAAAAAAAAAAAACACACACACACACACAAATGAGTGTAGTTTAATGCAGAATTCTATTTGGGTCAATAAAGACTTTCTCTTTTTGTACCCAGCTCTGTATTGGGGGAAAAATTAATATAGGATACCAGCCTCTACCCAGAAAAATTATGGAGGGGTGAGGCTTAGCTCCTGAATGCTCTAGATTGTCAAATTCACAGCCAGGAAACCCCTCATTAAAACTCATTCTCAGCCTCAAGGCAAGGACTATTACATTTCCGTTTAGCTTTGAGAGGCCAAAGGTTGTCATTTTGAAGTATATCCAGCCCTAGCCTCCTTGCTTGGTGTAGAAAGGGCCTGGCAGTTTCTGTCTTCCTTGGTTCTGAGACTCTGAACTTTTGCAGTGAAGTTATAGATAAAGGTTGCTCTGGAAAGAAACCTGAAGAACAAAGGAGGAGAGAGAGGCCCTTCCCTCTTGAGGCTGAATTGGGCTTGGGGGAAGCTCCAGCACTGGGCTGTTATATGGGCTGTCCTGTGAAAAGCTGGGTGAAGGGCTGGTGTCCTGCGGGTGCAGAGGAGACCTCTTTGGCTGGAGAAGGAGGCATTGGATCTAGTGTCAAATACTATCCCTTTATGCTTTCACTATCTTCTTCACCGCCTTCTGTTTTTCTCCACCTTTTTCATTTCCAGGTTAAAATTTGGTTTCAGAACCGCAGAGCAAAGGAAAGGAAAATCAACAAGAAGAAGTTGCAACAGCAGCAGCAACAGCCGCCCCCTCCTTCTGGGCCACAGCCTCCCCAGCCACAGCCAGGGCCACTGAGAAGCGTCCCGGAGCCTCTGAGTCCGGTGTCTTCCCTGCAAGGCTCGGTGCCTGGGGTTCTGGGGCCAGCTGGGGGGGTGTTAAACCCCACTGTCACCCAGTGACCCGCAGCGGCCTGCAGTAGCAATTTCAGGCTGAGCCATGAGGAGCATGGACTCTGCTAGAACCCTCAGGAAAGACCCCCTCCCCTCTCACCCACAAATGTTCACCAGCTGACCTAGCCCTCAGAGCAGAAACAGACGGGGGCCTGGGGGAAAGATGAGTGTGGTTGGGGCCCTCAAGGATGACATTCTCCTAGATTTCGACTTTTTCCGTTCTGACTCTTTCTGCCAAGTGAGGAGATGGGAAAAGACACCGGGGCTTCCTTTAGTACCAGCGGACACGCTGCCTGGACTGGCGGAACAGACCAGCCTTTCAGCCCCCTGTTCCTCCGCCCTTGGCCTCCCAGATCTGCAGGATACATCTCTGGTTGGAGCTGAGGCAGGAAAGGGGCTCAGGGGACTGCCAGGGATGGAACCAAGATGGTTAGGTCTACTGACTGCCCTCCAAGGTCCCACTGGCCCCTCTCACCTCTAGGACAGGCAAGATTTAAGCTGCAGAAGCCATAGGCAGCTAAGATGGAGACTTGGTCCCACCGAAGCATGCAGAACCCCCAGGTCTTTGTCTTTCTTCTCTTCCCAGTGCAGGAAAGACTTGGCTGGTGTATGCACCCGGCCTATGGTAGTGTGAGAGGGTGGTTGCTGGACTCCAGGCCTGACAAGTGGGGGGTGGGGGTGGGGGGCCGGGACAGGGCCTTGTTTAGAATGCCTGTCACCAGAGCCTCTCTGGGCTGAATGTATGTCAGTGCTATAAATGCCAGAGCCAACCTGGACTTCCTGTGATTTTCACAATCTTGGGGCTGATGAAAAAGGGGGAGTTTCTGTTGTTGTTGCTGCTGTTTGGGTTGTTGGTCTGTGTAACATCCAAGCCAGCATTTTAAAAGCCTTCTGGATCCATGGGGAGAGACGTGATATGGTGAAGGGAAATGGGGGTGGGTGGGGGTGGGGGTGGTATTTGAACACAGTTGAATTTTTTTTTTCTAAAAAGAAAAGAGATAAAGGAGCTTTCCAGATTTCAGATTCTGTTTTTATCACCTATCAGATTTTGTCTGAAATTATTATTTTTATTTTTTTTTAAGAAATGAAATATCCTCTCTCCTTGCAAGCTAGAATTAGGAAAATCAGGGTGGGGGTGGGGGGTGGAGAAGGTTATCTGGACATCCTCATTTTACCCCAGAGCACCAGAAGCCCGAGGGAGCGGTTTCTGAGACCTGCCCTGCCCCCAAGCCGCAGCCCAGCCTTGCCTTGTGGAATTCGTGGTTCTCCTGGGGGTGCCTGTGGGCAGGACGCACAGCTGAACGCCCAGCTGCTTCTCAGCTAGGGGAATGGTGGGCAGTGGGCGCGAGAGAGCCCCTCACAGCGTCCCGTCAAGTCCACACGGAGGCCGTCACCCTCAGTCCCGTCATCGGTGAGTCTCTTCTCCCCAGGATGCCCAGCATTCAAGTGAAAACACTCGATTCTATTCCCAAGGCAAAGTTTCCACGAACGTGCATACGAAGTTGCCCCCATGGACTGTAGCCCGCCAGGCTCCTCAGTCCATGGGGATTCTCCAGGCAAGAAGACTGGAGTGGGGTGCCATGCCCTCTTCCAGGGGAATCTTCCTGGCCCAGGGATTGAACCCACGTCTCCTGCATCCGCAGGCGGGTTCTTTAGCACTAGCGCCACCTGGGAAGCCCAGGTTCCCACGACCGTGTTCTGTAAATGGCCTATCTTGTCCCGTGCTGTTTCCTTTTCCCCATTCTCCCTCCCCGGTCTCTCCCCTCTCCCAGATAAGAACTGGGAACCCAGCAAAGGGAGATCCTCGTGGAGATCGGCTGGGCACGGGGCTGCTGCCCTTGAGGTTGCTGGTCCTGGAAGCCGCGGAGCCGGGCGCGCTCGGCAGCTGCGGGGCCCGGGAAGAGGGGCTGTGCCCCCCACGCGGCCTTTCCGGGCCCGGATCGGCGCCTCCACCGAGGGAGGAGGTGCCCCGAGGGCTGGGCTGGACGGGCCGAGCTGCGAGGCAGGAATGCCCCCTGCAGTATCGCCCCGATTCCGCGGCGCTTCGGGAAGGCGCCTTCCCCTCGGCGCCTGGGGCCGGGCGGGGGGTGGTGATGGCCGGGGGCCGCGTGCCGGGCCCGGGGCGGGGGCGGCGGGGCAGCCGGTGGTCCCCGGGGGCCCGGCGCGGTTGCTATGCGTTGCCGTGAAACGCCTGTCAATAAAGCCTGTTTGGACAGTGGAGCGCGAGCACAAGGGTTATTTGCTTAGTGGTTAGAGGTCCAAAAGTCGGCGTGGTCCCGCCGCGAGCGATCACACGGGCCTCCCCTTCCCGGGGAGCGGGCCCCTAGCGCCGACGCCCGTGCATCCGGAGGGCCCACCGGGAGGGACCCCCCACTCGGGGCGACGAGTTACCCGCCGGTTGCCGCTCGCAAGGCTGGGAATGAGGGCCCTACGCCGAGGCACCGACCCGAGAGCCAGCCCCCAGGGAACCCACGCGCGGATGCGGCGCGAGCGGGCAGCGCGGCCTGGAGAGGCCTGGGGAAGCCTGCGTCCGGACGTCAGGGTTCATTTGTGAGCAGAGGGCAGCGCGGGTCCGAGCGCCGCGGGCGCTGTGCCGAGGATCGCAGGGCGCGAGCCCCTGGGGCCCCGCGGCGCTCTGTCCCCGCTCCGGCCGCCAGGGAGCGCGCGCGCCCTGGGAAGAGCCGAGGCCCGGCCCTTCGGCTGCTCGCCGTCTCTGCAGGAAGGGGACGCAGTTGAGACCCAGGGGTGCAAGCCCCAGACCTCTCTCTCCCACTCCGCGGCTCCCAGACCCGCGTGGAGAGCCTTCCCTCCGCGGCCACGGGACCAGGGAAGCTAAGTGCACACTGGGTCAGGTGCAGAGAATTCTTGAATCTGGTGCATGTTTAAGAAGAGCAAATTTAGGGGAGGGGAGCTGTCCACTCTTCTTGAAGGGTCTTTTTGGGGGGCTCCCTTGGCGATCCAGTGGTTAAAACTCCACTCCTCCACAGTTAAGAGCGCGGCGAGTTCGGTCCCTGATCGGGGAACTAAGATCCCAGGGTGCCCTACTCCCCCAAAAAGTCTTTTTGGACAAGACGTTTCTTTAAAAAAATTTACAGAAATATAGGTATGATATTAATATATGGGAAAAGCGAGAACTTAGGATAAACAAAGGGGAAAATGCAGCAGTATTGTGGAACTCATGTAAAAAAAAAGAAGGTATATATGTAGAGAAAGCAGGCCAAGTCTCTCTTTTTCCTGTAAACAATTCATAATTTTATCATATTCATCTCATAAAGTTAACAAGATGAGCTGCTAGTTGAAAGCCATGGAAGTTTCAATGAGTTTCCTTGCTGTCTGATACTATCAGGCAGGAGGCTGACAATGATCAAGAATACTGATCTTAAATAGAAATCTAAACACATAAACAGCAATATTCTGGCTGTTGTTATTCACAACAACCTGGGAAAAATAAGAGGAGGAAAGGAGCAGAAATAAGTCTCAGCTACAGAATCTTAGGAAGAGATTATAGGTTTTTAAGAGCACTATTCACACCTTGTTTTATAATTAGTTTAAGAACCCTGGGAAGATCACAACCTCCAAGCTACCACTTCCTCATCTGTAAATGGAGATCAAATGCAATGTAAGCAGATGCAATTCATGGGGTACACTTATGATTAGATCCCAATAATGACATGAAATCCTCTTTTTTTAGTCATGAACCATCTTCTCTGAAGTGCTCAGAGGTCCTTACAGTGGATGTTTGAACAAGGATCATTTTTCAAATCATTGGAGATTAATTACCTTCCAGAAGTTTTCCTCCTGTATTTAGCTCTGCTTACTTTGTCAAAATAGCCCCAAGTCTGTTGTCTCTTGATTTCCACTGCCTATGTGTCTGCACAAAATCTCAAGTGGCAAAGCACGAACATTCCAGATGAGAAGATGAGTTTCGGCTCTACCCAGCTTACCTGCCCTTTCATTTACCAGGAAAGATGGACCCAGGCACTTCCAGTTGTATTTAGGAGACTCAGATTAGTTGAGGATATCAATCAGAATCCTTTAACCCAGAAGAGGCACAGAGGCAGATACTCTTCCTCAGTTCAGTTCAATTCAGTCACTCAGTCATGTCTGACTCTTTGTAATCCCATGGACTATAGCATGCCAAGCCTTCCTGTCCATCACCATCTCCTGGAGCTTGCTCAAACTCATGTCCAGTGATGCCATCCAACCATCTCATCCTCTGTCGTACCCTTCTCCCACCTTCAGTCTTTCCCAGCATCAGGGTCTTTTCCAATAAGTCAGTTCTTCCCATCAGGTGGCCAAAGTATTGGAGTTTCAGCTTCAGCATCAGTCCTTCCAATGAATATTTAGGACTGATTTCCTTTAGGATGGAGTGGTTGGATCTCCTTGCAGTTCAAGGGACTCTCAAGTCTTCACCAACACCACAGTTCAAAAGCATCCATTCTTCTGTGTTCAGCTTTCTTTATAGTCCAACTCTACCTAGGCAGTATTAAAAGTTTTGTTATTTTGAAATAATTTCTAGTCTAATACTTCAATATCAGTTCTGTACTCTGCCACGAGCCGGGTTGCACCTACCTCCCCCCTCTACCCCCCACCCCCAGCCCGCCAACTGCTTCTGGCAGGGGTTCAATTCTTCAAGCCTTTCATTAAAGTCATTTAATATGAGCATTTTCTTCTAACACCCATAATTTCCCCTTACACAAAAACTATAGCTGCAGATTTTTGCATTAAATTAGTATTGCTTTGGAGGATAAGGAAAACATTCATATCTAAATAATGTAGGTTACCTTGTATTTTAAATTAGCATTTAAATTATTTTCTTAAATTCCATTTAGACTACACAATCTTCCAACCCCCATAATTCTCACATTTAAAGTTGTTTTTTTTTTCTGGGGGGGGTGGCTTTTTCCTTTTGCCTCCTCTTCTTCAAGAGTTGACTATGATTTCAGGAAAACAAGCAGGTTTTATTGTTAACTGGGACGAGCCAGTGATGGGCCAAAACAATCACTAAATATTTTCTTTACTTATACACCAGAGGAAATACATACACTTCTTCTATCATTCACTTCTTGAAGGTTATGAAATTAGATCTAGGAAAATACCCTTAAATTCCAAATAAAGAAAATAGAATCTGTCAATTCTAGAGATTATAGCCACATTTATTTTGACATTCTTCTTGGAGGTATCAGTTTAGAGAGGGTGGGAACAAGTACATAGGTGACCTTTCGGGTTTGTGTCTCTACTACTCAAACATTTATTTTAACAACCGTTTTTTTCAAATTGAAATTTGTCACTAACCTCGGTTGATACAGATAATATCAATTAAGTTCCCAGAGCTCCAAAGATAATGACTGGTATGGGTTTCCCTGGTGGCTCAGACAGTAAAGAATCTGCCTGCAATGCAGGAGACCTGGGTTTGATCCCTGGGTCAGGAAGATCCACTCGAGAAGGGAATGGCAACCCACTCCAGTATCCTTGCCTGGAGAATCCTATGTACAGAAGAGCCTGCCAGGCTACAGTCCAAGGGGTTGAAAAGAGTCAGGACACCACTGAGCGAATAACGCTTTTACTTGTTCTTCTTTATTCAGGGTCCTGGTGATTCTGTGCTTGAAATCTAATCCATAAACCAGAACACCACCAGTCTGATCCATGAAGAAGAGTTCCCTGGGATTCAGTGATAATCAAACAGTCCCTCCTACACACACACTCACACGTACTTAAAATAATATTCAGGTCATGTACTGGATTTATGGGTCAAGTAATTTTACTGGTAAGAAGGAACCTAGGCATTTCATGCCCCCCTCCCCCACCTTTTCATGATCAATACCAGAACTTTTTTTTTTTCCCCATTGCATGCCTTTTTATATCCGTGTTTTAATTTCTAGGAAAGAAATTCTTTTCTAATTGTTCATGTGTTATCTCAGAACTTTCAGGACAGTCTGCTCTCATAACACTTTGTATCTGCAGTATGGTAATAATACGTTTTATACACAGGGTAGTTGATAAATTCTTCTCCAATCTCAGGAAAGCAAACAATGAAAAACAAAGCAGGAGCTAAAGTCATTGTAGTATACGCAAACAATGGCTTCTTGGTTGGCACCTGAATAATTTTAATTTACTGACAATTAGTAGAATCAATGACAAAGATTGAGTATTAATACCTAAACCACAGATTAGGAGCTGTAAAAATTGACGTGGGCAGGCTCAATCTTTTACTCATGAAAGACAGTATATGTTCTTTCACTCTGTGTATCTAGTGTATTAAAAACAACAACCAGGACAAAATTCAATGGCTCTGGATTCTATTTTTAGCCCTCCCTCTATTTTCTAGGCAAAACTCTGGTAGGGTGTATGTGCCCTGCCTGAGGCTAACAGAAAAAAGACACAGTTAATTGAGAACAAAAGAGACCATTGTCCAATACGTAGCAATATAGAAGCATACATGCAGGACAAAAGAAAAAATAAAAGACTGCTATCTGGAATCCACATGTATTAAAAATAAAAAGCATAACATTCCTGCTCAAACCACCTTACTGAAAAGAATGCAAATTTCAGAAATCCAAATTCCTCTAGTTATTTTCATGTGTTCCTGTTATTACAATTTTCATCATAGCTATGAATTTCATATAACCGCCTTTACACTTTTAGATACCTGTGAGTGTTATTTTGTTAAACACAATAGATGTTGATTCAGAGTGACAGTTCTTGGTCCTGATATTCAGCCAACAACCAGCATTTATTCCTCATTTCTAGGGTTAGGGTCTTGAAACGCACCCACTTGATTATAATGACTGCACAGGGGGTGGACACATGGCCAGAAAAGGGAACCAGAAGGCAACACGACCAGACAATCGGGCCGTCTGAAGTTGTTTAGGGACAAAATTTTTATAGGGACATATATTAGTGCATCAAGCTGGGCGCTACTTTTACAAATGTCAAGCCACACAGGATTCCTCCTTTAGTGGGAACTTTTAGTTTGTTCACCCCGCCCCCCCCGCCCCCCCGCCCCTCCCCCGCCCCTCACATCTTTATCTCAGAGAATCGACTGCCCGGATTCAAGTCTTTGCAAAATGTTTTAGACAGGAAAAAAAAAAAAAAAGAAAGCAAACCTTGCTCGTGCCCATATAGACAAGTCGTCTGAAACAGGCTTGGGCGTAGGGGGCGTTCGGCCAGGTAAGGAGGCGTCGGTGCGCGGCCCCAGCCATCAGGAAAGATGCATTCGGTTGGCCGGGGCCTCGCCTCTCCCCCCTGCGGCCCGGGCTCATGGATCAAAGTGGCGGACCCCTGCTCAAGGCAGCCGGACCCCCAGCGGGCGTCGGGCGCAGGCGTCGCATCTTCCCGCCCCGGACGCCCCGCCGGCTCCTCGCCCGGCGGGAAAAGGCCGTCTGCTGGCGGCCGGGCGCCTCCGGAGGTGGAGGCACAGCGAGGACCCCGCGGGGAGATTCCAGGCACGTTCCTTTTCTTCGGAGCAGCTCGATCTCCACCGCCGCCGTGGTCGTCACGGTGAAACGGACTCTTGATTTTTCACGGCGTGCCCGCTAGGAGTGGGGTGGTGCCGGGCCCGGGGCGGCAAGGGGCGCGCGCGGCGGCCTCCGGGTTCTTCCTGAGCGCCCCGTGCGGGAGGGACTTGACCTGGAAGGCGAGGTGGGAGGCGGGCGCGCCCGGCCCCGAGCCGGGCCGGGCAGGCGCCAGGGCCCCGGCAGGCGGCGCTGCTGCCTCGGCGGAGCCCAGAGCCCGAACGGGCGGGGCGGGGAGCGGGGTCACGGCCAGGGCGGCCCTCGGTGCCTCTCCCGCCTCCCCGCAGAGGGGTGCGGGCTCGGGATCCACGGCCGGCGGGATCGCGCGGCACCGCGGGTGCGGACGAGCCCACCCTTCCCGCCTCTCCCGGCCGCGCGCGGGCACCTTGCCCCTGGGGCCCCTTCCCGGCCGGGCGAAGAGGCTACGTCCTCAGGAGCCGCGGACCCGGTGGGTGCCCGCCGTCCTCGAACCTCTTCTCGCAGACGGACGTGTCCCTGGTCTGCCCCTCACGGGACTCCAGAGAGCGGCCAACTTAACGACTAGTGAGAGCCGATCCTCGACCCGGGCCCGCTTTGGGGGCTTGGGGGAGGGCGGGATCACTCTGGATCTAAATAATTTACTCGCGGCTAAATAATTTACCCAGGGTTTTCTCCTCCTGCCAACTCCCTCCCCTACACCCCTGCTCCCGACTTCCTGCTTTGTGCAGCCCCGGGGAGAGAAGGGCCAAGTCTACATAAAAGTTAATATTAATAGCGGTGGAGGCGGCGGCAGGTGCTTCTCCAGACCTCCTCGTCCTCTCTCGCCCCCTCCTCTTCCAAGTCCTGCCTCCTCCTCCAAGCCCGTTTTTTCAAAATTGAAGATGGGCCTTCTGCCTGGGGGACCCTTTCTGAAATAAGGGCCCTGGGGTGAGCAGCCTGTAGCCACGTGCTTTGTAAATCGTATCCTCCTTGCAGTCGCCCTGGGCGCGGAAAGTGGCAAAGGTCGGGCGTGCACCCGGCGGCAGCAGCGCCCGCGCGCCCGGTTCGGCTGCAGGGCACCGGGTCAGATAAGCGCGCAAGCAAGTCAGCAGGTTTGACGGGAAAGATACCCGGCAGGAAGGGGACGGGCTGAGCAAACTCGCGGGAGGGGTGTGTTTTGGAGGGAGGGACACAAAAGTTACAGGCGCAACAAACCCTAACTGTGGAGAGAATTCCTAGTAATTCTAGGAATTACTAGAGAATTCTTAGCCACGGACACGTTTTTCTAGCGCGGTGGCAAAGGATGCCAACAGGCTGTCCTCACCGCAAAGTCTGGTTGGGTTTCAGTTTTTACCAACGCCAGTTGAGGCTTTCCAGTTTCTTCCAACAAATTTATTTTTTATTTTTATTTTTTTTAATTTTTTTTTCTTCCAACAACTTTAAACAAGGCAGAGATGTGGGAAAAGGTAAAACTCCCTTCCCCCTTTTTTCATTGGGCTCTCCTTGTGGCTCATTTGGTAAAGAATCTGCCTGCAATGGGGGAGACCTGGGTTCGATTCCTGGGTTGGGAAGATCCCCCGGAGAAGGAAAAGGCTACTTTTCTGGCCTGGATAATTCCATGGACTGTATAGTCCATAGGGTTGCAAAGAGTCGGACATGACTGAGCCACTTTCATTTCTTTCAATCCCATCCCTCTGGGGTACCAATGTTAACATCCTGAGCTACATCAACCCAAGAATTTTTTGTGCTTAGGCAAACATGTATCACATCTTACAAACTTATTTCTCTTTTCTTGTTCTTCCTTTGTCTCTCCTTAAAAAAAAAATGAAGTAATACTTTTCTTTGTGACTTGCTTTTATCAGTTAATAATACATCTTGGGGCCTTCCCTGGTGGCGCAGATGGTAAAGAATCTGCCTGCCAATGCAAGAGAGGATACCTGGGTGGGCAAGATCTCCTGGAAGAGGAAATGGCAACTTACTCCAGTATTCTTGCCTGGGAAATCCCAGGGACAGAGGACCCTGGCAGGCTGCAGTCCCTGGGGTCGCATAGAGTCAGACAGGACTGAGCACACGCACACATAGTTGATTTACAATATTGTGTTAATTTCTGCCTCCCCTTCAAAACAGAAGGAACTGACTAGACAATAACAAAGATATCAAGGGCATTTCCCCAGGTCATTATAAGTAAATCCAATTGACTCTTTTAAATGGCTGCTGCATGGTAAATTTAGATGCCAGAACTTTACTCATTCCTTATTCACCAATTTCTTTGAATGTTTATTTTGTTCTAGGTGCTGGGAAACAGCATTAAGAGCACAGGTAAAAAATCTTAGGTCTTAGGAAGCTTACATTCTAGAGGGTAGAGATCGAAAACATTTTTTTAACTGCTTCTCTCCTACTGACTGATATTCATGTTGCTGTCAGCATTTTCTATCATAAATGGTACAAGGGTAAGCATCTTTTTACATATATTCTTTTGTATATTTATATTTTTAAAGGCTAGATTACTCAAATTGGAAATCCTAGGTCAGAGAAAATTATCATTTTAAACTTTTTTCATTTTTTAGCTTAATAAATATAGGCATTGCTTCCCAAAAGGGTTTAACAAGTCACAACAGTACCTCCCAGCTGCCTATAAGTGAATTTGCCTTTCTTCATGGCCTCTTTGCACTAGAAATTATTGCTTACATTTTTAAATTCTGATGGACAGAAAATGGTAGCTAATTTTATGTTTCATAATTTACTAAGTAGGTTGAGCATATTTTCTTTTTTTTTTTTTTGCATTTCTTTGTGGTCTGCTTGAATCTATTATTTTCTAGTAAACAGATGGAAAAGAAACAGTGTTTACTCATCCCAGGCCTTGTGCTTGATCCTTTAAAATTATTTCATTTAATCTTTGCAAATGAAATAACAAGCTCTGGGAGATGGTGGAGGACAGGGAAGCCTGGCGGTGCTGCAGTCCATGGGGTCGCAAAGAGTCGGACACAACTGAGTGATTGAACAACAAAATCTTTGCAAAACCCAATGTCTAGCCCTATGAGGTAGATTATGATCCAGGTCTTTCTGATGTCAAGTGTGTGTGAAAATGTTAGTTGCTCAGTTGTGTCTGACTCTTTGCGACCCCATGGACTATAGCCCGCCAGACTTCGCTGTGATGGGATTTCCCAGGCAAGAATACTGGAGTGGGTTGCCATTCCCTTCTTCAGGAGTAAAAGAACCCAGGGATGGAACTCAGGTCTCCAGCACTGCAAGCAGATTCTTTACTGCCTGAGCCACCAGGGAAGCCCTTCTGGTGTTAAACACTATGTTATTTAAGCCACCATTGAGCCTGCTCTTTGAATGTGGCCCACTTTCTAACTATGAAGGCAAAGGAAGAATCTTAAAATGGTACATAATTATCAGAAATATTTTCAAAATTTAAAAGCAAATTAAAAATGACAAAAGTATTTGCTACAAAAATGTCAGTGGGTTGTTTTCCTTGATATATACAGAATTCAAAGCAAAATAATAAGAAAAATTCTAGGCTGCTAATGAAATATCACCAAATAACTTAAAAAAGTCTAATACTCAGTGCTGGTGAGAGAAAGATATGCAGGCACTTCCTATACCAATGATAAAACTATAAATTGATATATCTTTGGCAATTTGGCAATATATTTTAGAAGTCTTAAAATACACTCAAGTTCAGTAATTTCATATCTAGAACTAATATAGGGAAATAACCAGAAATAAGGAGTTGGAAACAAGTGTCCAATATTAATATTTTGAGCAACTAAATTATGGTATACCCATTCAGTAGAATATTGTATAACCATTAAAGCCACTGTTTTCAGTATTATTTAATGTTTTTCTATTTAAGTTTTCAGAGTGATTAGTGATCTGACTTCCCTGGTGGCTCAGACGGTAAAGCGTCCGCCTACAATGCGGGAGACCCAGGTTCAATCCCTGGGTCGGGAAGATCTCCTGGAGAAGGGAATGGCAACCCACTCCCCCCCACAAAAGGGGGCTCAAAGAAATATTTGGGCTTCCCTTCTGGCTCAGAGGGTAAAGTGTCTGCCTACAATGCAGGAGACCTGGGTTCGATCCCTGGGATGGGAAGATCTGGAGAAGGAAATGGCAACCCATTCCAGTACACTTGCCTGGAAAATCCCATGGATGGAGAAGCCTGGTAGGCTACAGTCCATGGGGGTCGCAAAGAGTCGGACACGACTGAGCAACATCACTTAGTGTTCTGAGGAATTTTTTTTTTTTTGTCTCATACATCAAAAAAGGCAGGGCACAAAAGAATTATACAGTATGCTCTTCCATGTACTTATATATCTAGGCTGAGAAATGGCCCTCTAAAAGACATCAACAGGCCAAGCTCTGGAAACTGTGACTGTTACCTTGTGTGGCAAAAACCAAACAAGCCAAGAAAATAGACACTGAGATCAAAACCAAAGCAAACACCAAAACCCAGAAATCCCACCCCAACAATCGGTGCAATATGATCAAAGACCTTGAAATGGAGAGATTACACTGGATTATTCACATGGGCCCTAAATGCCACTGTCGGTGTCCTTTTCAGAGGGGCAAAAGTAGATTTCTCTCTCTCACACACACCCATGAAGGTGATATGAAGCAGCAGTGAGAGATGCGAGGCTGGCCTGGGAGACGGGACTGATGCAGCCCCAAGCAAGCCAAGAATCGCCAGCAACAGCTGGAAGTAGCCAGGATGAGACCGACACCCCCAGTCTCCAGAGCGCGGCTCTGCCCGCATCTTGCTCTCAGCCCGGTTTTGGACTCCGGCC